TGGAGAAAAATGACATTCGAATATATTATTGTCATTAAACCAAGTTGTAGAGAAAGTTGACACCCATACACATTGTTAGCATAAAATCTTGTCATAGAGAAAATCGATGTTCCCAGCATGTCATTAGCATTATGCCATATAGAAAGTCAACATTATAGAACATCATCAACATTAGACCATGTCGTAGAGAAAGTTTACATCCTAGCACATCACAGAACAAATTGACACCCTAGAATGTTGTTGGTATTAAATCATGTCTTGAACAAAATCAATGTCCCATCATATAATCTAAACTAGTCATGTCATATAGAAAATCATCATACTAGTGCATCATCAACATTAGTTCATGTTGAAGAGCAAGTAGACATATCAAAGCATTGTCATAATATCATATCATAGAATAAACTAGATTCTAAGTTTGTCATTAGTATTAGATTATATCAGGTAGAAAACCAACATCAACATGTTAGTTTGCTTAATCAAGATGATTAAAACTTATTATTTTTTATTGAAAACAATAAATGAAATAAACTTACTACTCGAATAAGTGGTATCACTAAATCAATTTAAGAATCTTTAAGTGAATAAAGACATTGAAAGAAAAAAATATTCATTGATAAAATAAGTTGACAAAATATATGAGCCAAAAAAATTAAGTTAAGTGTCAAATTTTCAATTGCTTATCTTTTACAACTTTTTCTATGTCAAAAACCTTTATATTTATATAGGGGTTAATGACTAAAGTCTGATTGGCGATCTTCTTGAAGTCATTCTCGTAAACTTCAAGAAGTTAATCCTTAACTTCATAGAGCTCAGTACTTCATTCTTCCAGGTCCTCCTATAGACTCACTATTTTGGCCTTGTAAGCAACAATCTTATTCTTAACTTCGTGAACAAGCTATTAAGTCTCCTTACCTAACTTCTTAATCTTCTTGACCCTTTCGTCAAGGTCAGGGATTTTCTTTACAACCTCAGTTAAGTTAATTGTTAATATTTCATTTTACTTGGCCTTTGCAAAAATGATCATCTTGTGATTGGTCAAGGAGGCAAGATGATCTCTTTATTTCTTAAGGGCAACCATTTCCTTCACCCTTTACACTTCTTAATCATACTCCTACAAGATAAAGTGTTTTTAGTAGTTCACCATGCCCATGCAACCAAGCAAGCAACATCTCAATGGAGTTCAAGCAACCTAAGGGTCTCATTGTCTTGAACATCTCAACATCAAAAGATAAGGAAAGTCACCACATATCTCATCCCCCAATAATCATATTACCATACCAAAGAGAGTCAATCTTGAGGGTGTTAACTGTGACATGATCCATCTTATTTAGAGGACCGTCCACCTCATGTAGTAGATAAGCCAAAGGTAAAGGTGAAAGGTTGTTAGGAATATAGGTAGCCGTAGATGGCGGAGGTGATTAAAGGTTAATAACAACCTTCATATTGGTTAGAGTTCTAACCTTAAACTCCAACCTAAACTTATATGAAAAAAGGTTAAATAACAAAAGTCACCCTCATTTTCTTTTAAGATCGGTCAGGCCCAAAGTACGATGAACTCTAGAGCTTGTGGAGGGAGGCACAAAATTAGATCAAGCATTCTTATGATCAAACATAAGAATCATGATTTTTGAAAAAGAAGTAAGATAAATTAATATAGGCAAAAATATAAAAATACCCCTAAATTGAAAATAACAAAAAAATCATTACCTAGGAATTAAGCTTGTTGGACCTCAACAAACGAAATTGAGAGGAGTTCCTCACTACTTATCACTGTAGAAGATTTCCAAGCATTTTTATATCCTCCTTATCCTTGTTGTACTCAATGCAAAATTTAAACTTATGATGAATAGGTTAGTATAAGGGAAAACTAGGAGTGTGAGTGGTGTTTAGAAACCTTTTTTATTAAGGTGAGATCCCAAATATACTTTATTTTGGGCAAGAAAAATTTATTTTATTTTTTTAAAGGAGGAAGTATAGACATAAAATAGGTCATTATGATCGGATCGATTGAGGAACACACAAGTGATCTCTTAACCTTGACTTCAACTAATGAAAGTACATAAATTTATTTATAGTTAGTGATATGTATAAGGTTACACAAATTTTGGAAATTATTTAGAAATATCCAATTATTGAAATGAAGTTGACTAGGGCAACACAAAAAGTGGACATGTTGTACTAGTAGTAAACAAAACAAGGATGTTTATTCAAGAGGTTAAAGCAAAAGTAAAATCTTCATTATTCAAATTGGGTTTCATGCACACCCGATCATTGGTTGAGCAAGTTTCAAATACAACAAACTCAACATCCCATTTAATAAAGATATTGAAAGCCCAACAAATGTCTTCTACAAAAGAAGTGGAGGTGACATTAGATAAATAATAATCTACCACATTAAGTACTTAGTTGTACTCAAGATTCAAGATGGAGGGAAACTTACCTTATTGGTGCTCGAAACAGCTCTAGCCTCAACTTTTTAGGCCTTGGACCTACTTTGACTACAAAGGACCCTACAATGGCATATCCCTTTCTTTCAACATGATAGAAGTAGAAACAACTTCAACAAAAGGACGAGCCTCCTTATGGAATGAATCATTAAAAGAGTAGGAATGACTCTCTTCTCCGAAAGGCTCATGACCAATAGGTTAAACTTTGCATCCAACTAGAAGTGGTTCATGTTAACTACTTGAGTCACTAAAGTAACCATAAACAAAAGACATAGTAGTAATCTAAATAAACAAAAATAAAATCAGCATACCTAATAAAAGAGAGCCATAATGGATAAAGAAGATAAACTCAAAAGAAGATGATAAAGCCCAATGTAAGATATGGATGACACAATGCTCTTATATAAGAAAGGAAAGATGTTTTACACCCGCATCTTTACTTAACCTAGGATACGACTTTTGAGAATAATCTTGATGATGACACATTAAAGACAACCTTTCAAATACTTAAAATTGCTTTCATTAATATTTGTTAAAACATTTAAAGTGCTTTAAGTATGCTAAGGAACTCAAAAATTCATTCAACTAAGCTCTAGATTGGGTATGCCTCAACCAAAGATCGAGATCAAGCATAAATCAACCAAAGATCTAGATTGGACAAATGTTTACAAAAAGATTTAGATAGAGCATACTTCAGCTAAAGCTTTATATCAAGTATACTTTATTCATAACTCTGGATCAAATAGTATCCACATACTTAAGTAAGCACTTGTGTAATGTTAAAAGCTCATTAATCTTCAACAAAGTTTGATTTTGAGCTTCTAGGACTTGAATGCCTACTTGATTTGTATATCACATATATGACACAAAATAATATAAAAAAATATTAGAATTTAATACAATTAATTATTTCAATATTAATAAGTATCAATATATAATTAAAATAAACCCTATTACTATATAATAAAAGAGGAACATAATACATCCAATTAATCAAGTATAATTGAACCTTAAAATAATAATATTTGCTACCTAAAATAACTCGATAAGAAGAATCCTACAAATTGGATAATATCATATTTTATATTTACTATTACATTGTTATTATCTACCGACACATTATTATTATCTGAATAGAAATATTGACTTAAATATCAAAGTTATTTTTAAACAAATCTTTCTCTTTTTTACATCATCTAAAATTTGATATCAAAGACTTGAAAGTTCTTATTATTGAATTGAGTATGACCAGAGTATTTTTTTAAATCTTCACTTCAAACAACATAATATTAATATTTAAATTAATTCGATTTAAAACATTCTTATTTAAATATAGATACTTTTAAAATTAAAAAAAAAATATATATATATATATATATATATGTTTTTTTAGTTTTTTAATTTTTTACCAATTTTATTTTTAATTTCTCAAAACTTATATTATTTCTCTTCATTTCCCATAAAAAAGAAATTTTTTTGTCAGAAGTGGGATTTGAACCCACGCCTTCTCTCGTGGACTAGAACTTGAGTCTAGCGCCTTAGACCACTCGGCCATCCTGACTTTAATGACTTTTGTTATTATATAGTTAATTTATTGTAAAATTTCATAAAAATAATTTATCGTAATTTGTAAAACTATAATATAAATATTATTAAAACGACTCCGCTGGGGATCGAACCCAGAATCTCTGGTTCCGTAGACCAGCGCCTTATCCATTGGGCCACGGAGTCATGTTTGAATATAATCAGATTATAATTTTAATTGTACAATAATACCGTGAAAATTTTTCACTAATACGAAAGGTCCTTAAACAACATGGATCCCACAAAATGTTATGGCAATTCGTCCTAAAAATTAAGGAATATCGTCTACGACGGGAAATTCCTTTTTAATACTGAATTTTAAAGATAATATCTTACCCAATTGCATGTACAAACTATTTTAACATCTAACTATACCCATTTTCCAATAAGTTTTAAAGACACGTATTATCCGTAAAAGAACTTTCTATATTGTAAATTAATCAGAAAATAATTTTGGAATGACATTAGCGAGTGTTTGGAAACTTTCTATTCGGGTTCTTTAACTAGTTTATTTCACGTTATATTTTTAATTATCTATAATTTTTATTTGGATTTCTGGGATTAGTTTATAGTGACTGGAAATCAAAAAATAATAACAATTTATAGTCATTTAACTAACTCAAGAAACTGAATTATAGAAGCTCACAAGACAAGACAGTCACACACACCCAAGCTGTGTAGCTTTTCTTTATCATACCTTTATGTCTTTCTTTTTTGTAAATTTAGCTAGTGATAATGCTCTAGTTTAATTATATTTCTTTGCATGCTTAATATTTACGCTTCAAAAGCTGATTACACATTTCTAACTCAGCACCGTTATACAGTGCAGGCCCCCCGCAATTGTTTAAGGTGAGGGAGACATAACGTTATTATTAACCCCCCTACACTCTCAAATCATTGTGTTTACTGTTTAAGCTACATAATACACCTCAAAATTGCTCACTTGTCTCAACTCCTTACTATAAAATGACTTGTGGTGTTCCACTTGTTCATCATTCACAACTATTTACAAACACTAGCCAGCTAGTAGTTATTTATCAAGTGATGGCTGGTAGAAAATTGGAGAGCTGCAAGACTGACATAGTTCTCACTTTCTACATTATAGCTATGTTGGTTTTTGTTCACAGTTGTGTGGCTGAGAATGTAGTAGAAGACGTTGCTGCAATTCCTCCAGCGCCAATGGAAAGCTCAGGAGTGCATCTTTGTGCCCAAGCTGTTTTTGTAGTCTTTGCTTTTGTGATTGCCAGGTTCACCTGAGAGGGGTATTCGGATGTCCCGTTGCTGAGAGAATATACAATTACATGATTTAATTCTTTATTTTCTGTGGGTTGACGTTTGTTGAAACAGAGTTGGGATGTGGAATTGATCCACGTAATGTGGTTTGATGCAGAAATCAGTGTTTTCACAACATTTGTCAACCATCTCTGTAATGTTTCCTTTACTTATATAATACAGCAAATATCTTAAACATGAGACAAGGGCACTAGACAGCAGGCAAGCTAACTTGCATATATTTATATATTTGTTCTATTTCATTTATTTATTTATTTTTTCTTAATATAGTTTATATTTTATTTTTGTGTAACCATTACTAGTCTTTAATCTCTTTCACAATTTATTAAACAGACATTATGAAGCCAAATTTGAAAAAAAGTATTATGATTCAAGTTATGATGAGGTTAAGATATATAAAAGATCCATGTTCTGACTGAGAGACAGTCACAGAATACCCATCAGAATTCTGTATTGGCAAGATTCAAGCGCTTGGCCAATTTTAAAATATCCGTGCAGCAGAGCAAGCATGTGCTCAAGTTAAGAAAATCTGTTGCACAATAAACTGCTATCCAGCGAAAATGAATCATAAATGTTTAAAACAGTAACTGCTTATTACTACCATTGGTATCAAAGCAGCTAAATGGGTGCAGGAGTCTTTGTTCATTTTGGCATTTTTGCCATCAGTTTTCCTACTGGGTGAACACATAAAATTGGTGCGAAAGAAAGCAAAACCAATTGCATCTGCCAATTACTCTCTGACACCAGGTCCTATATACAGAACGTAGAACTCCAAACAATGTATATCTGGAAACTGTTGGTTCTGCTTGGGAATAAATAGAGATGGATTTCAGGAGGAAATCTGAAGAGAAAAAGGCTAAGGATATTGGCCGGACAGACTAAGCATTAAGTATCCATTTGGTACAATTTTTCAAAATATTATAATATAAACAAGTGTAGAAGCAAAGAACTTAGTCTTCTGTTAATATATTAGATCACTCTTTCTATTGAATTCCTTCAATAAAACAAATTAAGAGAATAGAGAAGAGATCTTGCTTTGTCCATCTGGTAGCCTCCTCAGACGGCAGCTCCAACGAGAAGGAAAGCCTCCAGTGCACTTCTCCATGTCTTTTTCAGGTTCAGCTTAATCCTAAAGCCTTAACTAGCTAACCACAATCCTTAAGAGTATTTTCTGTTAACTTGAATGGCTTCTAATAGAGGCTTCAACTGAAAAATTAAGGAGACAATTGAAGGGACATATTCAACTCATGAATTATGACTTATAACCTCTGATTTTAGTAAACTTAATGAAAAAACTGATTAAAATAAGCTCTTTTAAACCTATTATAAGATCTTATTGAGGGCATGCTCCGAACAAGTCCTAATTAAATTAGCTAAAGAAAGTAGCCTGATCTTCTATAGTGGTGAAGGTGAATTATCTTCTCACTTTTAATGGGGGAGAGTGGGAGATAATAAAATAAAAGATATACTGAAATATTTACACATATCACTCTAGCATACCAATTGAATTGAATGAAGTAAACACACATGGAACACAATTCAGATACATATTGGCCACCCGAAAACAAAAATAACAGAGAAACCAATTCGTTAATCTGCAATCAAGTCATAAGGAATCATCGATGGCTTATGGAACCAAAAAGGTCATGGTATGAACGCTTAGGAGCATCTGGGCGAGACACAATTTCCACAACTTTATAAGATGCCTCAGGATAAGCCAATGCCTCCACAGCTACTTCAGCAACTTGATCTCTGGATATAGAACCTTCATAAAGGGTGTCCTGGTATACAAGGATTTTAAACCATTCAACAAATGTTCCACAAGATATAAACTTAAGATTCTAATAGGAAAGTAATAGAGAGTCAGAAATGTGGCACAACCTCTGGCTCCATAACAACATTGCCAGTAGGAGGATCATTTCTCAACCCGCCTGGTCTTATAATTGTGTAGTTTATACCAGATTTCCTGATATAATTCTCTGCCTGTAGTTTTGCTACTAAGGTGAGTCCAAAAACATTAAGAAAGATGTAAGCCGGATTGAGTAGCTGTCCCATGGATGCTCCATTAACTAAAATAGAACTGACAAGAATGAATCTGTTGACATTACGTTTCCTGCAAGCTTCAACAAGGTTTACAGTACCAAAATTGTCAACCTGCACAAAATAGCAGTTTATTATAAGAAAGCACTACACCAATAGACTGAATAAGCCACCCACCCTGCAATGATTTTTAGCATTATTATAAGAAAGCACTGAATGATACCAATATAGATTTTAGTTTCTAACGTCTATTCCAAATTAGCAATATAACTTTCCCTTCCCAGATCAAAGTCTATTCCAAAATGAAAGCACATGGCAACACACAAGTTTACAAATGCAAGTAGAAGAAAAGGATTCTAATGGCTCTCCATCAACATCCTCCACTCCTACTAACATCCTTCACGATGTCAGGTACTAAACAAGTGGTACAACATGAACCAAAGTGAAGACCAAATACATGGAAGAAACAAAGATTCACGTTAGATTACTTCCACAGTTTCATATCCAAAAGGCCAGGGGAATCAACTGTTTAAAGTTTAAATTAACAATGACGCACTGTACAAAACATACATAACCTATCCTACTTTCAAAAGCATTAAATAACTGTTGAGAAACTCAAACGAGTCTAAGTCTCATATTAAGGAAGTTGAACAGCATATAAAGAAAGCATATAAAGAAAAAAGACGTATAACTAATATTTTAAGATTTTGGATTACTAATATTTTAAGATTTTGGATTAAAAGTCTTATGTGAGTTAGATTGATGTCTCATTGTGTTGTTTCTTCCCAATGAATCCCCATCCAAAAATCCTAACAATAAATTCATAACTTCTACCATGAATTCATAACTTCTACCATGATGGATTCTGGATCAGTGAATATGTTGGGTACAACAATGAACTGAATTACCGCAACTGATTTTGCTTCCAAACCAAACCATGGACTGACATAAAAAGTGAGTCAAAATGACATAACAAAACGATTATAATCGTACATTAAAACATTCTAGTATACCACAAAGACATCATAAAAAATTTGACGAACCTTCCACGGAGCTAGCAAATCCCACCCCGGCCGAAACCCTGTGGCACATACCACAGCTTCTGAATCATCACCAATGGCTTCAGCTATCTTTTCAGACCCCTCTGTGACATCAGCTTTTACCTGCATCACATACACACCATCACATTCACATACACTTAAAAGGAATGCAACTAACATACACTCTAGTACACAGTAAAAAATTATTGAAAACTACAAAAATCAAGAAAGAGAGTAGTTAAATAAGTTGAGATCCATTAAATTTTGAGATTTACAATAAATTTCAACCAAGGAGAAAGTGAGTCTAAAATAGTGTTCCTAACATTTCTCAACACCAAATTGAAAACAAATAATTAAAAACTCACAATTTGAAGAGATGGGTTGGCAGAAGAAAGGGTGGACCTGGCCTTGGCCAAATCTCTAACCCCAGCCTTAACAGCAAAACCCTTTGCCAGTAACTGCTCAACGATTCTTTTCCCAGTGCTACCAGTAGCTCCAGCAACAAAAATTTTCTTCTTGGTTCTGAAATCCTCCCCCACTTGCTCACCGATCTCACTTCCTTCCATCTAACATCCAATCCAATAATAAGTAAATGAAATGGTATTAAGTTATGATAAAACAACAGAAGGTATGATTGCGATATGCACATGATGCTGGAAAAAACAAAAATGAGATGTTGTGAAATGTGATGTGTTGTCACCTTTGCGAAATTGAGGAGGCGTAAGGAAGAGGGTGCTGTGAAGTGCTTGTGGAGTTGGTAATGGTGAGTGTGGAAAATGGGATTTCTTACAGTGGTGAGAGTCGCAGCCATTGACACGATTGCGACACTATAATAAACAGAGATTTCTTGTAATTTCGAGACTGTAAAACAAGACGCTATAACCGTGCCACGTGCTCTCCAAACTCCAAACGCGATACCTTAGCTTCTTGTCTGTGTTTTTGAGTTATCCTATAGCTAAAGTTTTAATAATAGTAATAATAATTAATAACAATGATAATAGTTACTTTATAAAAATTAGAATTAAAAATATATTTTATTTACATAATTATTTCATGTGAAAATTTGGATATGTTTTATGATTTATAATAATAATATACAATTTCATCATTTATAAATGAATAATTAGTTTTAAGGAATTGACTTGAGTTAAATAATATAGAATTTGTAAATTAATTATAAGATTAAACTTTCTAGTCTTTTTAATGTAAAACCTTGTTGTAATAATGAAATTTTAAATAATAATTTTATATATAAAAAATATAACAAAAATTCTGACAAATTAGTGAAATAACAAAGGATAAAATATAGCGTCTAAATCTATTTAATTAAAGTGATAAAGCTAAAAAATTAATATAATAACAAATAACATTATTATATTAGTCTAATCAATTGTGGCATGATATTTCGATTGTGAAGAAAATATTTCTTATTTGATTAAACATAGACGTGCATCTATCAAAATATCTCCTTAGAAATTTTATAACATAATTTTAAAGCTAAGATACGTATGGTTCGAGAATGAATTGTGTTATAATCATTAAAAACCAACTATTTAACATTATAAAAAAATTAAATATGTATCTAATAATATCTAAAATTAAGTATAATTATACTAGTTAATTTTATAAGTAATATAATTGTTATTTTATTTTATCTTTAACCTTCATTCTTCTTGTGTAAAATATATTTAAAAAGGTGTTTAGAAGGCTTTTCAAACATGTTGTATATTTAAATATGTGAAAATGGAATATTTAAAAGACTAATAAATTATTTTTAATAAATTTATTATTTTTATAATGATTTTTTAAAAATATTTTAATAAAAAATGCAATTAGTTGACAGGTACATTTTGTTAACATCCCCTAATATTTTAAAATTAAATTAAGTCTCCAATTTTAAAAAATTGTATAGAATTTTTTTTACATTAAAAATATTATACTGTTACTTTTTTATATTTGAAGAAACATTTTAAAAATATTACATAGGTTTTATTTTACATTCCATATGATAAAAAAAATACATAGGGATGTAAATGTAATTTGAAAAATAAAATAATATATATAGAGAGAGAGAATCTTACTGTAATTTCCACATTAATTTTTAAACTGAAAATATGTTAAACCGTGAAATTTTGTGATCAAAAGGCAAAACTTTTATCTCCCCCTCCTCCGGGAGAACCTCACCTCCGCGAGCTCTCCGTTATCGTGCAAGCCGAAGGGTATGTAATATGCATTGATCTGTAAGACTGCAAGAAATCAGATTGATATTATTTTTTTATATCTGTAAGAAATACAAAATGCTGTTTTGTAGTTTTTTTATCATTTTGCTTTGTAGTTGTAGTTAGTGATTATTTATGTGATTCAGCGGATGCTCTTACTAGGTTGTCGAAATTTAAATAATTTTACTGTTACCTTTCAATCTCGATCGAGTATTTGATGCCTGGTTGGCTTTTGAAGCACTTGATTTTGAATGATCTTATGCGTGTGTTTCCCATTGTCGAAGTGGTTTTGTAAAGTTTTGCGGGTTTGTTTCTTTTTGCGTGAGTGCTGCTGCTGGCTTGGACTCTTTAGTATTGTGTTCGGATGAAGTCTAAATGTTTTTTTATGAAATTTGGATTTTAAAGTTAGGGTATCCAGATGTATTTTGGTTTTTGAAACATTCCAGAATACTGGTTTCTGAAAAAAGAAATCGGCTGTTTTATAATCGTCATCATAAACAAAATTAATAGTATATGCGATGCTTTGTAGATAATCTTGCTCTTCGTATTAATTTTGCTCTATCTGAATCAGAGCAAAGTTCCAAATGCAAACTTGGTACTGAACACTGATTCCTTGTCTAGGTTATGTTTTGGGTTCTCTCATTATCAGCATCCCCTTGAAGTAATTAAAAAGCAATTAAGGTTGTGAAAATGAACAGGTGGCTATGGCACTTTGGAATAATAAAAAAATATAGAGGGATACTTGGAAAAGAAGAGAAAAGAAGAAAGAATAAATAAATGAATAATGTATTTTGGTTGAATTTGTAATTTTTCAATATTGTGGAAAAAGGCTTTTAACGGTGTGACTGTGTGGTCAGCAACAGAACATGGTCCACTCCAAAACTATATAATAAAAATAGACAGGAAAATTGCTGCTTACAAGATTTTTGGTATTTCACCCAATCTCCTTTGTTTTTCTGATTTGTTATTCTTTCTTCATCTTGTCTGCTGTATCAAAAACCATTTGATCATAGTTTGCTTTGGTTTAGGTATATTTTGCTAATTCTGAGGTGTTTTTTTGAACCACTAGCATAATTTGAGGAATTTAAAATTTGGAATTGAGGCGATATGGAAAGTAAAGATGCGAAAGATCCATTCAAAGGGGTGGATTGGAAATCTGTTGGTGGTGACATGCAGCAAAATCCGAGTGCTCAACCAACTTTGAAGAAACGATTACCCAAGAGAGTTAGGCAAATTCCTGATTACTATTTTCTTCCTCGATGGCCACTTCCCAAAGCCATTTTATTTTGCAGTGCATGCATTGGTGGTGGTGTAGCTGCTGGAATGGTTGTTGAGTCCTGGATTGAAAACAAAGTTAAAGGTATTTTCACCTCCCCTCCTCTTCCCTTTCTAAATAAACTGCCAATTTATGTTCCGACATTTAGCTTTTGTTGAAAGTGGTGCACCAATCAGTACCCATTTAATCGTTGCAATTAACAATGTGTTATTAGTCCTTTGAATTACCAAATGGGAAGCCTTTCATTTTTGGAAATAATTTTTTATTTTCTGATTCTCCTAAAAGGCTGCCAATGTTGAAGCACTACTATCATGGGAGCTAGTTTCGTCTTTAAATTTCTCACCCCAATCATGGATTTCTGTTTAAGAACCAAAATTGGTCAACTGAATGGAATAGCATTTCGCACCTAGAAACATCACTATATTTTAGACTGATAAAAAAAAAGTGGTAAACTCTTAGAGAAAGAACATGAGAAGATAAAATGAATTGCTTGTCCCACAAGTTTTTGAGAAGCTAGATGAAAGTTCTTCTATAAAATTTAAAGTGTACAAGTTGATTTGAACTTATGGGAAGAGTTCAATTCATTTTACTTTTTTTCTCTCCTATTTGTTGGAGAGTTTATCTAAACAAGGTCTATGTAAAGTTTTCGGTTCCTAAGCTATCAACGTACGTAATTATAATGTATTTTGTGATGTTCCACGGATCTTCAGCAAACCTGCTTTGAATTTCTGACTAAGTCATATGTATATCAACTGTCAGAGGATAATATTCTGTCAATGACAAAGCTTTAGTTTGAACGTCAATGGCATTATTCATTTGTTAAATTTCGAATTAGACATTGTTGTAATGGTCTTTTATTTTGGTATTGCAGAAGATGGAGGGGTTATTTGGGAATTTGACAAATAAACTATTGCTGTTGGGCAACTGATGTCACATACATTGTTGCCTCTTATCATTTCCTCCTTACAAGTTGGTCTCTTGAGCAACCGTCACTTCCCTGAGTTATTAGTTTAGGGATTAGGGTGATTTAGAAGATTTTTGTTTTTTGTTAGACTCTTGGATAGCAGGATTGTGAAGAATGAGATGTCATGGTAATACTTGGGGAGATTTTTCTGTCATTTATAATAACTCTGGCAGCTAAAATTTGTTACTTTTTTTAAGATTAGCCTTTCGACGGCTCTAAGCACGCACTCCAGAATGATTCAAGCAATCAGCTTATGAAGGGCCGACCCTGAGAACAAAATTATTAAGTGTTGCAATGAATTGGGGTTTTTTAAAAGGAACAAGAGCCATGTTAATATCATCTGAGTTTTGCAAATACGTGATTCATTACGAGTTTATGAACACGTGTTAAATTGGGCATAGCTATGTAACCAAGGTAATTGTAATTGTCCCGAGGCCAATATCCTTTTTCACTCACTACACATTCTTCCGATCATATATCACAGAATTGGAATGAATTGATCATAATATTCTTAGAGATAGTTTATCTGAATTATGTTCGATATACATTGTTTTAAAGGTGTTCTGAGTTCTGGTAACATTCAGCATGTTATGCAACATTTGTACATTTATGTTATAATGTTAAATTCATTATTTCTTATACATGACCATGTACACGATATGATATTTTGCTGCTTTGACTATGATCACGCCAGAGGTCCCCTTGTTCAACTAGTTGCGGCATTAAGTAATATTTTGATTGTGCTTCAATTTATAGAGGTTACATCTGAAAGGGTGGACAAGTTGATACTTAAAATCATCACAAGTTTATAATTGAAGTCAACTCACATCACATGCTCCGAGCTTTTTTTTTTTCATTTCTCGGTTCATTTTACAAAACATTTTACCTTGCCAACCACATCCAATTAGGTGGCAAAAAAGACATGTATCACAAGTGACGGAACATAAAATTACGGAGACCACCCATTCTAAAGCCTAGTTTACACATACTATGCAGTTAGCAGCACTGCAATACATAAAGATAAGGCCAATATCAAATAATGAACAAAACAATAAAATATTTCAATAGGGGATGACAACGTTCATTGTAATTTAAAATGTTCTGTGAAGAATATGCCAATGCGCAATCGCATAAGCTATTTCCTTGTGGAAGTGTTAGCATGTAAATATATGAACTCTGGAAATCTAATTCCTTCTCAGGTCTCCCTCCGTTGTCAACTGCATACTAACTTGGCGGAAAGTTCTGCTCCCTGAAATTCATCCATAATTTATCATGAAACTGAAATTTTACAATTGCAAGTTGTGTAAACATCAACATCAAATTAAACTAATGCAATCATTTTTAGTATAATTTCGTTCTAATTTGCTGGCTGCGAGAATCAGATGTTTTAGAGATGTAACTGAGTCTGCAACCATTTGAACAATTAAACACAATAAATCAGTTTATAAAATCCCATACCTTTCTGAATCTGCATTGAGAGAATGTGGAAACGATCTTACATTTTATGATATCATATGCACCATTCCATCAACTATCATCACTCTATTGTCATCTTGCAACCTCTGAAATTTCAGAAAACACAGCACACTATTAACGGAGTTCATGTTGGGAAGATGCACCAGAAATGCATCAGTAGATCATACCTCTAATAGTAGTAGTATATCTGCTGCGCTGTAAGGCGAATCTGCCCCTCTGTTGATAACGTCCTCTACGTCTGCAATAGCTATGAGATCCAGGCGATTGGCACGCATATGCTGACCAAATTGAGAATTAAATGCTTCAATTCTGCATGTCAATACAAGATATTTTACGTCAGAAAAGTTCGAGCATAAAAAGGAAAATAAGAAAGCAATTGCGAGGCAGGAATCGACAGTTGACTGACCTTGCAGGGGTGAGTCCAACAGCAGCTTCAGCTGCTGAGGTATCATCTACTTCCATGGCATCTGCTGCTGATGTTGACCTAGGCAAAAAAAAATGACGTGTTAATTGTTCATTAATGGACAAATATATTTAAGAAATCTAGATATCAACCCCCTCCATATTTACATGGCAACCTGGAAGTCTTCTTGCTTACAAGTGTGCAAGGATGCTAAAACAGTAAATACATGTGTAATAAGAGTTACAAAGAAAAATAACGTTTCGGGTTTAGAATATGGTAATAAATGAATTTCCTTGTAAGCAAATTATGGTAATTAGAGTGAAAAGATGCCTGCAATATATTTAGCTTCACCAACTTGCGTAAATTATTGCTCACCCTCTTCTATCTTTAGGACCACGATCAGGACCATCATTTTCATTGTGATCAGCCTTGCGCTTCCTGTCTAGCTCTTTCTCTCTCTCTTGCTCACGCTCCTCCATTTCTGTAAGTTCTTTGTGATATATTGCAAAATTTAGAACCTTCAAAGCAGCTTCAACATCAGACTTTGAAACCTGAAAAGACAAGTGCTGACTCAATCACAAAGTGTACTGAACGAAACAGAGAAAATATAGGCTGTTGAAGTACCACCAGGTAAAACCTAAAAGTAAAAAAGCAATAGTAGAAAGAAAAAGTGCAGCTAAGGAGAATGCCACCAAGTGAATGTTTGAGTAATTGGAGTAAAATTACAAGGTAGAATGTATTTTTAGAAAAAATAATTTTGAAAGAATGAGTTTTATTCAAACGTTCACTCTTAGTATATTGGGTACTGAATGCAGATACCAACATTACTTTTGGTTGAAAGTAACAACACATTAATCCACCAGCCAAATAATTAATTTTGAGAACCATAGGAAGAAGTTCTCCAAGCATAACTAGAAAGAAAGACCGAAAGGTTAATTGATATTGCCCCTGGACTTGTTACCAAAGTAGACATTTATTACACAATATTTATTATAAATAGCGGAGAAGAGAACACTGAGAAAGTAGATGCCATGTCAAGTACCTTTCTGCTCAATTTCAATTTGGCATGTGCTGTTGAGAGACGTATGATGGTTTCTAAAGTTCTGGCAGTTATGGGAAGTGTTCCTCCAGTCTGCATCAAGCCAGCATGATATCAATAAAAATACTATTTTGTATTACTGGTTCGTATGCAGATCCTATTTCAATTCTCAATGCTAACCTTTGCATTTGAACTTGCATTTCTGAGCTCAGCATAGGCTGTGGCAATGTTCTCCGATGCCTGCGGACAACGTCAATTGATGCTAAATTAAAGCTAGTCATATGTCTATACAATGATGGACGGGAATAGAGGCACAATAACAACCATTAAGAATAATCAGACTTCAGAAGAAAAATGCAACTATGGCAATTGTAACATAATTATAGCACACTGAAATTCAATTAACATGGATAAATTGTAAATATTAAAGCGAATTCATCTTAAATCAATGGAATTGCTAATAGTTAACAAGAAAGGCACATTACCTCATCAGTCAGTTCAGGCTGAATCCTATGCTTAGCGTAGTGGATGTATTTTTTAAGAAACTTAATTGTAAGTGTATCACGCTTGCGACCTCTTTCTGTTTTCTTCCCATGTAACATTCTGTTATATTTGACAAAGATAGATGAGTCCGCATCAGCTTCGTCTTCTCTTCCATATCTTGAGCTACCAGCAAGCGCTGCCTCACCTACATTGTTAAGCTACTTTGAATAAAAGAATTATCCAGTATAAGCACGTCTCAAGCATTTGAAAACTGCTTATTTACCTCCATCAACAGAAGAACGAAATCTATGCATACGAAGTACATGCTCTGATATTCGACGATCAATGTCAGGATCCATTTGATCTAACACAATAAACAGCAGATCAAATCGAGAAAGCAAGGAGTCTGGAAGCCCAATATTTTTGGTTGGAGTCAATGAACGATCATACTGTAGATTTGCACAATAAAAAGGTACGAGTTAGAATAGAAATTGAAGGTTCAGTACACTATCAGGGAATTTGATAGTTTAAAACTGCAAAGAAAATTACTCACGCAAGGTCACTTACAGTTCCATATATGGGATTCGCAGCGGCAACCACACTGCATCGGGCATTCAGTGATGCATGGATACCAGCTTTAGCAATAGTTACAGTCTGCTGCTCCATAACTTCATGTATAGCAACACGGTCTTGATCATTCATCTTGTCAAATTCATCAATGCAGACAACACCTCTGTCGGCAAGAACCATTGCCCCAGCTTCTAGCCTTCTCTCTCCTGAGAAAGAAATTACAATTGTTTCCATAGATGCAAATAACAAATGTAATAATAGAACTATACATATAGCTCATGACAAATGAGTCTTTTTTACCTGTTTCTTGATCTGAAGTAACTGCGGCTGTCAAACCAACCCCGGAAGAACCCCGGCCTGTAGTTGATATGGCCAAAGGAGCAATGTTCATAATTGCTCTCAAGAGTTGAGACTTGGCAACAGAGGGATCACCAACCATCATCATGTTAATGTCACTAAAGAAGCAAGACCACATTATAATCTTATACAAAATTAAAAAAAAAACAAAAATTAAATTAAGAATGTGTGGTACTTGGAATACCAACTTTCACTAAGAGAAGATCAAGCCAATAAAACACTAACCCTCGCAAGTGAGTGCCATTCTTTAAGTTCTTCTCCACTCCACTAAGCATCAACAAAATCACTGCTTTCTTTATCCAAGAATGCCCATATATAGAAGGTGCAAGCGAATTACTTAGCAGGTCAAATGCATCATCTCTTTCAGCTATCTTTTTTATGTTTTTGAGATCTTCAGGGCTGTAGATTGGTGCATTAGCCTCTTTGTTGAGAAGAGAAACATTGTTGGCTATGAGCACAGTCCTGCATGAATATTAGTCAATCAAGTTTCTGTTCAAGAAGCCAAAGGAGCGCAAAGCAATTGTGTCAGTAAATTTTCTGGAGCTACCTGAATACTCCATTCACACTGCCTTTACTTTTCCCTGCAAGAGCCTTATATATTCCCACAATTGCCACTCGATCTCCAGGCTTGCAAGAATCAACAAGGTCATCTTCTACAATGACATCTACTGTTCTTGGGAGTTGACCAGGAGCAGAGTTCTCAGGAACTTCTTGAATGGATAATGTTTGATGATCTTTGTATTTGCACAATCCATACTCGGTCACAAGTAAGTTGCCATTTTCATCCTAAAAAGATTTAGTAAGTAAATTTCATCATCAGGAGAAGACAAACGATATTGAAGATCAACGAGCTTGACAATATTACCCTTGTAGGGTACACTGATCCTGTGGGCAAACCCAAATTAGATGTAATATCACGATATTCGCGAGAAGTAAAGTTTCCCGTGGTGGGGCAGAAATGAACACTTTTAACAACCTTCGGCCTCACAAGAGAACCTATAATATAAATGAAGATAAAAGGTAAGATTCCCTGCACGCTTAAACCAGAGTATTTATTCTTAATTTTTAGAACTTCGTTCATAAATTTATTTCCAATGAAACAGAAAGAAAGGAATCAATGAGGGAGACAAACAACCTAAAGGTTAAACCAAACCGCTGCTTGTAAGAGAAATAAACAATTCACTTTTACCAGCTCAGGATATTCATATTGCCATCATTATCAGATAACATTATGAATAACATCCCACTCAAGACATACTAGTAACTTATGAGCATAAACGATATTAAGTTGTCATCAAAATAACAGCGTTGTAGTTCAGATAAAAATATGAAGTGGAACACATGTTAACATAAAAAAGGTTAGTAGGGGCTAAAGAACCCACAAGCCATACTAACCAATGAACATGACTAAAAGTAATCCTTTCAATCCTCAAAATAACCAAAAATAGAATATGATTCCCAAAGTCACCAACTAAACCCTATAAGACTTATCAGGGGACAAAATAAGCCAGACAACAGTTACTTTGGTTCTGTTTAAAGAGTTTCAGAGTCAAGTTAGGAATTGAAATTTAGTCATTTAACGGCCTAATTTCATAAGAAACCAGCATCACTCAATCATTAAACATAAGACAAAAATGAAAGGGAGCAAAAAAATTAAAAAGAAGGAAAGTTAGTTTTACATTTGGTGACAATTCCCTCAACACAGACCATAGAACCTATGAATTCAGAGAGAAGCTCTCTTGGCGTGACTCGGCGAGAAACAAAGGGACCTTCAAATCCCACAAGCACTTGTTCCCCTTCCTTCAAATACTTGGGATCAATAGCACGAGTAGCTTCCGTCACCGCATCACAGAACGGTTGTATATACTCACTTGGACTCCTGATAATCCTGCAAAAAGAAAAAACATTTTTCAAAAAGTTAACAGAAAGACCAACTGCAAACACTAACTTCACACACAGAATCAAATTCGAAAGAATTGAAAGTATAAAAGTAAAAATTAATAATTAGTGTTGAGAAGTGTTAACCTGTTACCCAAGTCGCGAAAGTTGTGAAGATCGGAGATGTTGACGATAAGGCGGTGACGCTTGTGGTTGATTAGGGCTTTGATTTCGTCCATGTATATGCCCTTCCCCACCTGATGATGGAACAGAAAATCGGTAGAACGACAAAACAGTAACAGACAAAAATGAGAAGAGAGTATGCTTAAGACATACATCTTGATCCAAGAAATCGGCGAACTCTCGCTTGTGCGCTGCCCTAACTTCTTCGCTCAAGTCCATTTTCGAAGCCTCTGGTCCGAGCGAGAGTGTCAGAGAATGGTGAAATCAGAAGAATGAAAGAAAACAATGGTGGTGGTACCTTTTCTTTTGGCGCTAGGGCTCTGTTTTTGGCGCGAACATGGAGCCTCGTGCTCGCGTTGTGGCGGGAACAATAACTTCAAGCCCCTCTTGGGCTGTTCTTACTTTCGAGGCCCAATTCTTTCTGCACTCTCTTCTTCTATTGTTGCTCCCTTTTTCGAAAAAAATATATATATGCTTAACTCTACATTCCATTACTCAATTAGAACTTTATTTATTTCTTACCGAATTTAAGTTCTTCTGTACATTTTACCAATATGGTAAATTTTTAATATAGTAGATAGTTATTTTAAAAAAATAAAAATGACATTATTTTGTTATCAAATTTTTGCAGAAATAACGTGGTTTTGTTATCTTTTATTTTTAATTTTTGTATAGTATGTCATCATTCTCTTGAGAAATTTAAAATTAAAAAAAAAATTCAAATAATAAATATGCAAAGAAAAAAAAACTTACATAATAATTACGTGTGAACCAAAACTCTGACGATGCTATTAAGGATGAGTGTGGTTTTCTTTGTGTTCCAAATCGGGTTCAATCTCAGTACAAATCAAATCTAACGCAGATTGTAGAATTCGATAAAGTTCGTGATAACATTTTTATCAGAACAAAATATTCGTTGTGAATATTGACAATGATACTTGATGTATTTGAATAAATAAGCCGTATTGATATAAAAAAATAAAAAAAATGGTTAGAATCAATTTTGAGAATTTTGCAATGAAATTCTTGAAACATATTTCTCCATCAACATGATTGAAATTACTTTTTAGTGTTTATTGCTACTTCTGCATAAAGCATCCAAAAAATTGATGGAGTCTATTGTGTCCCTTATTTAATTCAATCATTCGAAATTTTCAATGAATTATCCAATGTGTTTCAAATGTTAATCCAATCTGATATAAAGCGATTTGAATTGGTCAAGTTTTTCATCTTCTCATACTTTCTCCGGAGAAAATATTTAACAAATGATAATATATATTGAAAACTAAACAATAGTTTCAATTTTAAATATAAGGCAATACATAACGAGGTAAAACTTTTTAAATATATTGAAAATAAACATACAGAATTTGATCATTACATTTATGTGTTCTTACTTAAATCATTACCAAAAAGCTGAAATTAAATATATTTTCATAAATAAATTAAGTTATGTGATATACCTCTAATAAACAAACAAGAAAATATCATAAATATATTTAAAAAGTACATGTATTTATGTGAGCTGAATTTGGATTATCTTGATAGATTTTGAAAATCAAATTACCATGGACCTACTTAACCAAGAATGTTATTTTTAAAAATATAAACATTTAACGTATAATTTATAAGTTAATTAAGTAGAATATATGAACGAGTCTAATGTATAGCCTATGTACGGCAAGACTAACTTTTTGTAATTATTATTTTAAAAACTATGTTTATTAGCAAAATCTTTAATTGTTACCAAACTGCGCACAAAAACCATATTATTTAGAGATTACAAATATAATTTGAAACTCATGAAACGGTCCTAATACGGTATCAGCATGTTTTCAGAGATCCGATTAACTGAGATTCAAATAAACCCCTGATGCTACAAATATTCATAGCAAACAGCAAGTATCTTAGATACATGCCTGATAGTAACTATCTTAACGTTAACAACATGCAAGAATGCTTAAGAATTGGTTTTTTGACATTCTATCCACTGTATACCTCCAAACTAATGAAATCTTCGAGCTATATTCAAAAAGTTTTTAGCTAAATGTCATGTCACAATTAGCACAAAATGAACTACAGGCCTAGGCATTTATATATGATGGACTCAAATAGAATAACTAGCCTCAATGATGTAGAGAGAACAAAATTTCAAATGATTGAAAACCGTGCTCTACGTAAAGTGCAGAAAAGCGGAGCTGGGCAATCAGGGCCTGAATGCAGAGAATGCCACCACAGAGTTGTGTCCACCAAATCCAAATGAATTTGAAATAGCTGAAATAGAAAAGGAATCATTATTAGATGTTCAAACTATAGCTGTATCATGTGGGGGAAAACATTGGTTATTGAATTATTTAGAATCTTACCAACATTGACTTCATGCTGCTGCTTGACATTTGCCACTGTATCAAAATCTACTGCCGGTTCTGGGTTCTGCACTCAAGACCAAGTACACATAATGTCACTCTAAAATTGAAAACAATGCAGCAAGAAATCAAACTGAATCATTCTGTTTGGTTCTCAAAAGCAGAATGGGGCAATTAATATATTCCTAACTGATTGCTTGTGCGGGTAATCATGATTAAAAACAAAAGTTCAAAACTATTTCAGCCTCCACAAGTCACGCAGAAAAATATAAAACAATACGTCTTGATTTTTTAACACTAAAGTGTGATTGAGGATAATTAATACTAACATCATCTTCACTGGAATCTGGCTCAGACAACCCATGGACCTCAAACCAACCATCCCTAAATTACCAGTCTAATATGTGAAATACAATTCACACATCTTTATAATGAGTGTTTATATGCTTTGATGACATATGGGTATTATTGCCAATAATTTTCAGAAACAACTTTGAGCCTACATGGCTAAAGAAAGGTGTAAAAAGACAAATAATAACAACTACATACGATAACAAGTTCATGCAGTCAGTCAAATTAATTCAAACCAATATTAAGTAAACGTACAAATTGATTGATTGTTGGATGCAGCCATCCTGTTGTTATGGCTTTAACAGTGGCAATAGCTTCCAAACCCCCAGCTGCACCAAGGCAGTGCCCTATCATAGACTGATACAAAATAAAGAAGATGTACATTAGTTGACGGCCAAGGATTCAATCAAATATAACCTTCTATAATATAGAAGAAAACAGACAGCTTTCACCCGCATAATGAAGCCAATAGTGGGATAATACCTTGGTGGCATTAATTTTGATGTCGGAAGTGTCCTTGAAAACCTTCTTAATAGCATTAATCTCTGCCAAGTCACCAGCAAGAGTGGAAGTTGCATGTGCATTTATGTAGTTGACCTGAAAAGAAGCAATTGTTACACTTTCACTTTGCAAATTTATGTTGTGCTTGAATAAAAAAACAGCATATAACTAACAAAACATTAAGACTAACTTCTAGCCTGACAGAAAAACATAGAGATGGCATTACAATTTACCTTTTAGTTCCATTACTAGCCTAGGCCCCTCTCTCTTGGAAAGATGAGAGAGTAACTGTATTAAAGCATTATTTACATAAGTTGCTACAGCCTGGGGCATAACTTTCAGATACATATTTTAATTTATGTTCTAGTAGCTGTGTTTCTCACATTCTAACTTCTCAGAAAAAAAATAAAAATTAAGTGCTGTGGTACGCAATTACTCATGCTGTCTAATATCATATTATCATGTTGCTACTAAAATCAGTGTAATTGTGTGATATCCATGACTATAAGAAAAAAAGATGAACAAAAATTGCACATAGCAGCAAAAAAAGAGGTCTTGCTCTCTCTCTCTCTCTCTCTCTCTCTCTCTCTCTCTCTCTCTCTCTCACTATGTAGATAATTTTCGGCGCCAGTACAAGTGTCAAACATAACCTACCCCACAATCTGCAACAACAGACCTATGGCAATCACAGTCCCCCCAGCAAAAACCATCTCTCAACAATTTGCAACCAGGAATCCACTGTTCCTCATCGTTTCCTCCTTATTGTAGTTGACTGAACCTACATATATAGAAAGTTTGAAACAGGGGTCATATGGACTTTGTGGTGTTGTACCTACCCTTGCACCCTATTGTGCTGAGATGTGCTTCCCCTCACTAGTTGATAGAAACTGGCCCAGACTACTTAAATACACCCAAAAAATACTGTATGCTATAGATCTCAACAACATCAGTTCCAATACCCTGAATCTCAAGAGGAAAAACTGAACAGAAACTATAAAATGGAAAACAATGGACCCCCGATACTTATGTAAGGCCCTTGTCTATCTCTCTAATTTTCTCATGACTTGGATCTTTCTTGCCTTTTCTCACTCCTCCCTCCCGTTTTATCATCCCACCCCTTCTACCAGATTTCTCCCACCTTCCAATATCCATTTGCGATGGTAGGCAATTATGCCACTCTCTCACACCTCATATTACTCACTCAAGGTGCTGATTCTCATCCCTCTATATTTTTCTGCGGTAAATCTGTTTTATGGGTGACTTCCTGACACACTGTTAACCATGCAGCATTTAAAGGTTGAATAGGAAGATACATATTTAATAAGTATAATGAGCATCCTATTTTATTTAATTGGGTACTAATAACTTTCTAACCTCTCTGCTGTCATGTATCCAAACCTCAACGCCAGGAAAGAAAATCTGGGAGGCCTACTACAAATTATACTGCATAGTACCATAAGAAATGTTTACCATTTCTATATATATGCTATGCCATCCCCTACCATATGATGTACTACAAAGACATTGATAACACATTGAATATGCATGCAAGGTAACAGAAAAGTAGAGTCAACTAGGAAGACATCCTTGAGGAGAAATACAATTAATAAAAACCGGAGAAGTGAAACAACCAATCCTTTTGACGGACAGAATTAGCCACAAAAGTAGAAGAGTAGTACTAGGAGAAAAAAATTACCTCCTCAGGTGACACACCAGCATCTTCAAGGCTGCTCTGAATGCATGAAGACACACCAAGTCCATCAGACCTTGGATCAGTCATGTGGTAAGCATCACAGTTAACAGCACCTCCCAAGTATTCAGCAATAATAGGAGCGCCTCGCTTCATGGCATGTTCCAAGCTCTCCATTACCTATCAAGTTAAAGTGCACCTTTTAAGATTTGAAAAGTAGTTTGCATACAAACAAAAAGTCATGCAAGATAGCAATTTCCTCAAACACTCACGGTAAAAGGAGATTTCATGGAAGAACAGGGAATGAGTGTATTGAAAAAGTAGTGTAACTTTCAAAGCAGTTTACCACTTTAATAAATTCATAAATATCCTACATTTATACTTACAATAGAAAAACTTCTCCCTAAGTACTTAAATGATTACATTATGAGAAAATAAGAAGGTAAAATTATTTGAGCTTCTCTACCCCGTTACAATCAATTTATGCACTCAACTTTTGAAGAAATTAGATGAAAGAGCTACTAAGTCAAATGCTAAATTCATTTCCCCTTTTTTGTTCTTCTCTTTCAAGGGTTAATAGAAAAGTTCGTTGAAAAGGGACCTAAGAAACACACCAGATGAATGTGACCTTACCAAAACTCCAGCACCTTCACCCATAACAAAGCCATCACGCTCCTTATCCCACGGCCTTGAAGCAGTTTTGGGGTCATCATTCCTCTGGGAAAGGGCCCTGCAAGCGACGAAACCCCCTAACCCAATAGGAATAATGGCTGCCTCAGTCCCACCCGCAATCATCAATTCAGCCTCCCCTCTACGTATATGGTTCGCCGCAGCATAAAAGCAATAATTGGAGGTAGCACAAGCAGTGGAAATAGAATAGTTAGGACCCATGAACCCAAGGTCAATTCCAAGCAAAGCCGAACCCATGTTAGTAATGGCATACGGAATGAAAAACGGCGTTATCTTCCGGTGCCCTTTCTCAATCAGAGACTGAACACCGTCAGAAAACACCGTTAGGCCTCCCATTCCGGATCCCACGAGAACACCGGCACGCTCCTTATCAAGCTGCACAGAATCAGAAATTCAAGTTAAATGGAGTTTCAATAAGAAAAGCTAAGAACCAGAAAAATCAGAGATTGAGGTAAATAGGGTTTCCACAAGATTCTACTGGAAGAATTAGTTTCCCGTAATGTGGCAAATTACGACTTGGATAAGTGTCTGTATTTAGTACCTCGAATAAAATTTTGTTCGAACAAGATTGTCCTCGGAAGAAGGTACATGAGAGGAAAGAAAAATATGAGAAATGAGAAAAGAGAATAGATCTGAGAGAAAGATAAACCTTGGAGAGATTATCAGCGGCGAGGTCGGCGTTTTCGAGGGCCTTCTTGCCAGCAACAATGCAATAGCGGAGGCAGTCGTCGAGGCGGCGGTCGTTCTTGCCGTCGATGTAGCCCTCGGCGGAGAAGCCGCGGATCTGGCCGCCAAAGCGGGTGGGGAACTTGGAAGCGTCAAAGCGATCGATGGCGGTGATGCCACTCTCGCCGGCAAGGAGCTTCTCGTAGTAGCCTTCGATGTCGTTGCCGAACACGGACGCTAGGCCCATTCCGGTGATGACCACGCGCTTCTTGGGGTCCTTCTGGCGCTGCGGCGCAGAGACCTTGGGCGCCGCCGAGGCGGAGACGAAGAACACGCGCTTGGCGGCGGCATTTCGTCTTTTGGCGGCATTGTCGGGAGCACGAAGCGGGTCCAAGGGAGAAGCGCGGAGAGTGGGGGAGTGTAGCGCTTGCATGATGGCGGAGAGTGCTAAGCAGTGAACACAGAACTCTCTGCCGTGCGTATGATAAGTACACACTGCAACACACAAGTGGTCATATTTATTTTCAGCTCATTTTTCTGTTCCCATTTTTTCAGCTCACTTTTTTTTATAAACACAATCTATTTTTTTTTAATTATTATTTACCCAATTATAATACACAAATATAAACTAATATCATAAAATGATCATTGAGAAAAAAATACTGGGATAAAAAAATCTTTTTTATTATTTAATACCATAATAATATTAAAATTAATAAATGGAATGAATAATAAGAAAAAGTTGATCGTATGAGAGCGTGCGAGCCTTCCAGATCCAGCGAGGCGGCGATAATAACAAAGCTTACTCTCTCCTCTCCTCCCTTCCTTGTATGGCAAATTCTAAGCCAAAAACATGGCCACCATCGAAATTTGTTATGGCTGTGTTAAACCACTTCTCATGATAATTACACCTCTCATGATAATTACTCCATGTTAATAACTAGTAAAACTTTCATTATTTACTATTTTCGAAACAGATTATTTTTAAACATGGTTAGTTATATCACTTTTAAAATACTCGTTATTATTAAATTAACTAATAAATTTAATTTTTTTTGTCACATTTTTATTATGTTTAAAAACTGTTGAACACTTGAAAATAAAACAAAGGAGAACATTTGTTTTTTTTTATATGATTATCAAATCGTGCAATAGATAAAAGAAGTGAGAGCAAAATCAAAAACCAAATTCAAACAATTAATATAAAACATTTTCCATATTTATATAGCTAACTTAATATTAAATATTATTTATATATTTGATGATTATATATTTATAAAAATGCCCTTCATCGTATGTTTTAAAAATATATTTATAATTTATAAAATGCATAAAATTATTTATTTATTATTTATAAATTCATAAAATTCTTTCAAATCTTATTAATATTCTTGAAAATTCAGATCCATGTTATATAGATTAGGGAGTTTTGTTCCATTTTTTTTCCTTACAGCGAAGCAAGCGATGATAACGAGGATGCTAAAGAAACTGATAGCACCGTCCTAGATTTCTTGCATTTATTTTCATTTGTTGCATAAAATATATCTTTTACTCTAGTTTTTATTATGGTAAGTTTTAAATTATTTATAATTGAATTTTCAAAAGATTATTTTACTTATAATATATCTTTTCATTTCTTGCATTTATTTTTTATGGTAAGAAAGAAAAAAAAAGTTTTTTTTTCAAAAGAATCTAAGAATCTTTAAAAGAAACCAATATTATTTTTAACTGAGTCACTTAAGTAAAAAAAATATGGTTTTGTTCTATTTTATTCATCTCTACATAAATAATCTTCACAGGATTTCCTTTCAAAATAATAACAAAATGTGTATTATTCATTCATTGAGACCATTTGATCTTTAGTCACAAACTTGCCATTTTCTTAAATTTAATGCAAAACTTTTTGTTACAACGAAGAGGTAGTTCTCCCATCACAGGGTGAACTTTAATAAGCAATCATTATTATAACATTTGGTTAATCTTAGTAATTTTTTATTCCGTGAAAAATTATCTGTCAATAGGCATGGCAACGGTTTGATTTTTGTTGAAGTTAAAAATTAAGTTTTTATTTTTATTTTGGTTGAATTTTGAATTTTTTTTCTTTTAGTTTGATTATGTTTTATATTATTTTTTTTAAATAATTATATTTATAATAAATTAATTTTTATATTTTTATATGTATAAATATTTATAATTTTATAATTTTTAATTATTATTATTAATTAAATATATACTTTAATTTATTATATTTATATTAAAATATATATATGTCAAAAATATTTAAATATTTTTTTAGATATAAAATACTTGTAATATTATTATTATTATTATTATAACATTATATATATATATATAAAAGTTAATTATATTTTAAGTTTCATTTTAAAATGTTAATAAATATGAAATATATAATTTATAAGAAAATATTTATTAAGTTGTGATGGAAATATTTTTCTTCCTTTCATCATGGATGAGGTCGAAAGCTCACACCTTGAGCACCCAACCAAAATTTTTTTCCAAATTTCTAAAGAAATTTGACACTAACTCCTCTAGAGAACGTTCCTTATTAGAAGAATAGGAGAAAAAAATCTCCAAATTAGAAGAATAAAAGAAAGAAATCTCTAAAGACACTTTAAAAATCAATTCAGGTTACAAGCACAATATGCAAGTTCCACACACAAGTTTTGATTTCATTCCAATGTGATTCAAAAAGTTACACAAGGGGTCATATATATATATAGATGTTTCTCTCTCATTCACTCATTTACCTAAGGAATGTACTAACTTTGCCTTATACAAGTGATACCCGAAGTTTCTAGTTTCAAGTCCCACCTATACCACTTCTAGTTAAAGTTATGAGTTTATATACCAAAAAACTCTCAAATGTTACAACCAAAAGTTGAACCTTGAACCTCCTTGAGTGTTTGAAGTGCTTTAGAAAATTTTGAGAAGCTAAAATGATATATTCTAATTTTCTTGCAGTCAAGACTTGAATATTAAGTAGATCTCAACCCTTCTTCAGTAAGTCACTTACTTGATTTTCTATCTCAAGGGATTCATTCAATGTTCTATCTAAAAGTGGGAAAATTATGTTATACCCCATATGGTAGAAAAATAAGTTTATAATTCAATGTTCTATTCCCTAAAAGTGGGAAAATTATATTATACCCCATATGGTAGAAAATGAAGTTTGTAACTTGTCGCAGCAAGTGTCCTTTTTATGAGAGAAGGAAAAAAGGTTGTTCAAATTTCAGAGGAGAAATTTATTTTAGAAAGTTTTTGTTGAATAACTCTTTTGGAAGGGACACAAAACCCCCAAACCCTATTCATTCTCAATTCAATTTTTATTTAAAAGATAATGCTTTTGTTTTAACTTTTTTTTTCACTCTTACAATTTTATTTTTGATTTTTATTTGGTCATCCCTCGCTTATTGAGGTGTAAAAGGACACAAAATTATTTTTCTATCATTGTGAAGGAAACTTATCTTGTTTGTGTGACCATCATGGATATTTTGTCTATCATATTGCCATGACCTACCAAGTAGAATATGTCCAACATCCATAGGAACTACATCGCACAAAATATTTTCTTTGTAAGTTCCTATAGATATTGGTATATCTACTTGTTTATTAACTACTATAGCACCATCTTCATTGAACCATTGAAGTTTGTAAGGTTTTGGATGAAGTATAATAGTTAAGGCTAGTTTTTCCACCAACCTAGAACTACAATAATTGCAACAAGAACCACTATCCATAATTAAAGAACAAGTGTTTTTCAAAACTTTACATCTTGTGTGGAATAAATTTTCCCATTAGGATTGTTCCAACTCATAAAGTTAGCTTATGAGAAGTCTTCTCACTACAAGTAATTCTCCTTCACAAGGGAGAATTTATTTCTCAGAGTTTAAAACTTTTTCTTCACTTGGTGAAGAGTGAGCTTCATCCTCACTTACGATCTCTTGGTCTTTTAAAAACATAACTTTTTTATTGGGACAGTTAGAAGCATAGTACCCTCTTCCAAGACATTGAAAGCATTGAATGTTTATAGTTCTAACCCCTTTGGATGGTTCTTTATTTTTATATTTTTCTTTTTCTCTTTCTCTTTCTTTTTCTTTATCCCTTCGTGACCCTTCATCCCTAGATGTGGAGGGGTAACCCTCCCTCTTAAAATATTCCTTAGGAATAAATGTGTTAATGTAGTCTTTCCTATGAGAATATTTTCTCTTCAATTGTGGTTCTACCCTTACACAAAATTGAACTAGTTCGTTTAAATCATTGTAAGGCAATAATTCAACTTTATCCCTAATCTCTAGGTTAAGGCCACTTTGAAACCTAACAACTGTAATTTTTGGTTCTTCTCTTATCCTAGCCCCCATCATTAAAAACTCCATTTTTTGTCTGTATTTCTCTATGGTCATATTTTTCTGTTTGAGTCGTTGGAGCTTATACATCAACTCCCTATCATAATAAGAGGACACATGTCTTTTCTTAAGGACACTCCGAAGTTCATTCTACTACCTAACTTGAGGTTCGTTGTGAATTCTCCTATCTCGTACTAGGGAAGTCTACCAATACATTGCATGTCCTTGAAAACTAAGGGTTGCCATGGGCACCCTTCTTTCCTCATTGACTTTATGGCACTCGAATAATTGTTCTACCTTCATCTCCCAGTCTAGGTATTCTTCTACATTATCTTTTTCATGAAAGGGAGGAAGGTCTACCTTAGGTTCTTTAGGATGATCCACCCTAGTTTTATGTCTCCTATGGGGAAGTGTTGATAGTAATCATCATTGTAACGACTACTATAAACCTCAATGCGTGGTGAATGAGGTTCTTGATGATGTTTTAATCTTCTCCTAGAACCCTCACTTATATTTTTAGTTTTATGGTTATTATCTAAGAGTTGGGCAAACATAGTCCTTATTTCCTCATCCCTTTTCTCAGTTTTCTCTTCTAAAGTGCTAAGTTTTTCCTTAACATAAGAGTGTTTCCTAGATCTACGGTAGCTCCCACCCACACTAGAATGACTTGAAGGTGCACGAGAATGTCACTCATTTTTGTTTAAGAAAGATTTTCACAATAATTTGAAAAATTGTTTTTCACAAAAATGAAGTGACAAAGGTTTTCACAAAAGAAGTTTTTCAAGTGTGTATGTGTGACAGACCCCTAAGACCAAAGGAAGGTCAACTAGTCGTTTAAAGACTCACCTAGATTTTGTCACAAAAAATTAAATTCTACTTGTAAAAATTTGCACAAAGTAAACTAGACGGAAACCTAGAGTGAAAGTCCAAGTGACACTTAATGAACCTCTTAGGACACTTGCACAAGACTAATTCGTGAAACTATTACAATGTTTAAAGTAGAAGATGAGATTGTACCAAGGACATTTTCCCAAGATACCCATAAAAGTAAATTTTACAAGAATTATAA